TCTACCCTACTTCCTCTCCCCCTCTACCACTCCTCTCTCCACATCCAATCCCCCCTTCCTCCTCACCTTCCCCCCCACCCTCTCTCCCATCCCTCTCTGCCCACCTTTCTTCTTTCTTACTCCTCCTCCCCTTGGTGTATTTCCACTATATGTCAATATACTTGGCTTATCCTATTTTTAAAGAAAAATTAAAGAAGAACAGTATACATGTGAAGTCACATTACATTAAGATCCCACGCAACCTGTTTTGAATGCAGGTAAGTGCAGGGCATGCATGAAGGGGAGGATGAAAAATGGGCCTACTGGAAGTTCGGGAAGGCCGGAAATGGGCCCGTTTCCAACCTCCAGAGGGCCTCCAGAGCCTGGGGAGGCCATTTTTGCCTTCCCGGAGATTTGAAGAAAGCTTCCAGAGCCTGGGGAGCACAGACAACCCTTGCCGTGGTGCAGGAGGCTGACTAGACTATGCCCACCATGGCCACACCCATTCAGCAACTGGGCAGAGAACCCCTTGCTAAAAATTTTGAAGCCCACCCCATGATCCCATGACCCTGGGATGTTGCAACCATTGTAAATCCATGCCAGTTGCCAAAACTGTGATTATGTGAATATGGAGATGCTGTAACAGTTGTAAGCCCGAGGACGGATTGTAAATCACCTTTTTTCAGTGCCATTATAACTTTGAAAGGTCACTAAATGAATGGTTGTAAGTTAAAGACTGTGAATAATGCCTTAATTTCTTTTTTATGTCTGGCATATCTTTGATTAGGTTTTGAAAATAGTGTCCAACCCTCCCCCCCCCCTTTAGTGTTTCAGGGAAGCCTTATGAGTGAAAAAAGGACATGTGACATGGAAAGAGCATATTATATTATGGACAAGAAGATTATAAAGTGAAGAGAGCAGGGCATATATTTTATTGTAAATATTTGCAGTTCTATCTGTTGTGTCTTCTCGACGCAGCCGGCAGGCGGGGCCAGAGCCGGAGGCTCCTGATTGGTCCGGATGCGCCTGCAGCTGGCGGGAAAATCACTAGCCACCTATTGGCTAGCTGCCTGGCAGCTGTCAAGTATAAATAGCTGTCAGGGAGCCCGCGCGCTGTCCGTGTTCTGAACTTGTTAGTTGCTGTTGCCTGTTAATAAAGACATTGACTTTTACCTCACGCCTCGTACTTTAAACTGGCGACGAGGATGAGCGACATGGACCCCGTCATCGTCCCTGTCCTGGCTCCTTCGGTCTTCGCCGCATTCAGGCCAGAGGCCAAATCATGGGACGCATTTTTAGAGAGGCTCGAGGTCTTCCTCCAAGCTCATGACCTCTCCGAGCTCCCTGAGGGGAGACAACGGGGCACTTTCTTACACTACTGCGGGCCCGAAATGTTCACCACCACCCGGGCTCTCTCTGCACCGACCCCAGTGCACACTATGCCGCTGGATCTCCTCATGGCTCGGCTCAAGTTACACTATGAGCCTACGCCTTCCAAGTATTCGCGCCGGCAATTTTTCCAGCGCTGTATCCAAAGACAAGGACAATCCATCAGCCAGTATGTGGCTGAACTGAGGGCTGCCGCAATAAACTGCGAATTCTAAAGGCAGATGGGTCCCCGAGGGTCTGTGCCGATTACAAGGCGACCCTGAACAAGGCCCTTCAGGCACATCCTTACCCGGTGCCTGTGGTGCAGCATGTTCTGCACTTTTTGGGCCAGGGCAAGACTTTTGCAAAATTGGACCTGGCCCAAGCCTACCAGCAACTGCTGGTAGACGAGGCCTCAGCCACAGCCCAAACCATTGTAACCCACCGCGGCGCTTTCAAGTGCCGCCGGCTTCAATTTGGGGTCAGTGTGGCTCCCGGGATTTTCCAAGGGCTCATGGAGCGGGTGCTCCATGGCATCCCGGGAGTTGTGCCCTATTTTGACGATGTCCTTATTGCCGCTCCGGACCAATCAGGACTCGTCAAGACTCTTAGGGCTGTCCTCTCCCGATTCCGAGCTGCCGGCTTGCACTTGAAGCATTCCAAGTGCCAGCTCGGCGTGCCATCTGTGGAATTCCTTGGGTTCCTTGTGGATTTCCGCGGAATCCACCCCCACTCCTTCTAAAATTGAGGCCATTGCCTCCGCCCCCACTCCTTCTTCGAAGGCGGAGCTCCAGGCATTCCTGGGGCTCCTCAATTTCTACTCCTCTTTTATTCCCCACAAAGCTTCTGTTGCGGAGCCCCTGCATCGCCTCCTCGATGTCTCCACCTCTTGGAACTGTACAGACCGCGAGGCGCATGTGCTCACGGCTGTCAAAACCCTCTTGACTTCTGCCCCTGTGCTTGTGCAGTATGATGAGCACCTCTCATCATACCTCCTAGCACCTCCTAGCCTGCGATGCCTCCCTCTTTGGGGTGGGGGCTGTGCTCAGCCACTCCTACCCCGAGGGCTCCGAGGCCCCGATTGCATTCTACTCTCGCATCTTGTCCAAAACTGAGCGAAATTATAGCCAGTTGGACAAGGAGGCCCTTGCGGCCGTTGCGGGAGTAAAACGTTTTCACCCCTACCTCTATGGTTGCCGCTTCACTCTCCTGACAGACCATAAACCTCTCTTGGGCATCATCTCCGGTGACCAGCCCACACCCCCTATCCTATCGCCCTGCATGGGCCGTTGGTCAGAGTTCCTCTCCGCCTATTCCTACTCCTGACTGGGCAAGCACATGGGCCAGGCCGATGCCCTTAGCCGCTGCCCCTCCCAGTCTCTGACCCCGCTCTCTCCATCACGGTCGCAGCCCTGACCGATGACCTCGAGTGTCCCCTCTCGGCCTCGGACATTTCCCAGGCCTCCTGTTCCGACCCCCTCCTCCAGAGAGCCCTGGACGCAGTTCGGCGGGGCTGGATGGAAGAGACTCGCTTGGCCGAGTTTCTTTCATTTTTCCGCCGCCGGGATGAACTGTCAGTCCTTCAGGACTGCCTGCTCTGGGGCTCCAGGGTCGTCATACCTGCTGCCCTCTGCCAGCAAGTCCTCGACTGCCTCCATGACGGCCACCCGGGCATAGTGCGGATGAAAGCCCTCGCTCGCAGCTATGCCTGGTGGCCCTCCATGGACGCGGACATCGCTGCCTGGGTCCAGCGGTGTCCTCCATGCCAGGCTGTTCAGCCGGCACCTCCCTCCGCCCCTAACCGCTCCTGGGAGACCTCTGCCTTCCCTTGGAGCCGTCTCCATTTGGAATTTTTCGGCCCCCTGGACGGCCGTTCCTTTCTCTTTATAGTGGACGCCCTGTCCAAATGGGTGGAGATCTTTCCCATGACATCCACCATGGCCGGCGCCACCATGCAAATTCTCCAATCCCTCTTCACCACCCATGGCATCCCAGACATCATCGTCTCTGACAACGGGCTTCCTTCCTTTCCTGGGAATCCGGCACGCCCCTATTGCCCCCTACCACCCAGCTGGCAACGGCATGGCTGAGCGCGCCATGCGTTTGGTCAAGGAGGGCTTGGCCCGCCTTGCCCACCTACCTTGGCCTGTCCACCTCTGGACCTACTTGCTCACCCAGCACTCCACCCCCTGCCAGTCTACTGGCAAGAGTCCTGTGGAGATCCACATGGGTCGCTGCCTGAGGACCACCCTTGACCGGTTACATCCCTCCTTCTCTCCCACGCTGGCCCCCTGCCGGAGCCCCCAAAGTCTTTTCTGGTGGGTGAGGGGGTCTTCGCTCAAAATTTTGCGGGGCCCCCGAAATGGGTGCCCGGGGTCATTACGGAGCTAACAGGCCCATGCTCTTATAGGGTCCAGCTGGGTGACGGAAGACTATGGTGGTGCCATCGGAATCAGCTGCACCGCCGGACTACTGAGTGGCCACTGCCACCAGCCACCTTGCCTGTTCAACCATCGCGGCCGGGGTCTGCTTGTCCAGCGGCTGCCCAACCTGCCCAGCCACGTCCAGCCGCGGCCCTGCCGTCTCCAGCCGTGCTCTCCGCTTCACAACCACCGCAGCCGGGGCCTGCTCACCCAGCGGCCGCCGAACTTGCCCAGCCACTTCCAGCCGTGGCGCTGCCAACTCCAGCTGCGTTCCCCGCTCCGTGCCACCGCCCGTCAATAGCTACACCAAAAGAAGGATGCCTACCTTCAACTTTTCCCACGGACTCAGGGGCTGGGCCTTCCCGTCTGCTGTGTCACAGCAGCAGACCTCCTCTGACGATGGACACTCCCTCTCTCCGGCGTTCCAAGCGCGTGCGCAGAAGGCCAGCATACCTGAAAGACTACGCATGCGCTGTCTGGGGGGAAGGGGTGTTGCGTCTTTCTGACGCAGCCGGCAGGCAGGGCCAGAGGCTCCTGATTGGCCTGGGCGCGCCTGCCGGCTGGCGGGAAAATCATTAACCACCTATTGGCCAGCCGCCTGACAGCTGTCAAGTATAAATAGCTGTCAGGTGGCCCGCACACTGTCCATGTTCTGAACTTGTTAGTTGCTGTTGCCTGTTAATAAAGACGTTGACTTTTTACCTCACGCCTCGTACTTTAAACTATCATCTTCAGTTTTGTGTGGCTGAAAAAATTGGAGACCCACTGACTTCAAAGCAGATAGTAATGAAATAAAATAACTCAACTTCACACGTTCCTTTTCGCTGTTGTCAGTTTCTGTAATCTTACCCTAGCATTCTCACAATAATGCACTATCTATCCGTCTGTCTGTCTGTCTGTCTGTCTGTCTGTCTGTCTGTCTGTCTGTATTGCTTCAAGCTGGGTTTTGGGCTTAAAGTGTGATCGGAGCTGCTGTCTTTCTATAAATCTTGGTGGGGTTAGGACTGTTGAGATGTGTGAGGAAGTTGTCCAGTTTTTCTTTCCCATATGGCCAAATCATGAAAGTGTCATCAACATATCTAAGCCAGAGTTTGGGTTTNCCACATTGCTTGCACATTACGCTTGCCTTACGGAGGTTGGAGACAGGGGGCCCACATATAGAGGGGCTTCAGCTAGGATCTCTGTTACTATGGCAACCCAGAGATGTTTACAGAAATGGCTCAGCCAAAGAGAAGGATTGGGCATAAGGGGGACTGCTGGCGAGGGGATCCTGATCTGGCTTGTTTCTGAGGTATCCCCCACAGCTTCATATACACAAGAGAGAGCCATGAGGGTCAGTTTTGTTTTGGAGGACTTTAAAAACCCAAACCTCACAATAATGGGACACTGGCTGCTCATGCCCCTGATGAGTTGGTCTAGCTACAAATGCACTTGTTTGGTGTGTGTGTCTGTGTGTGTTTGTGTGTGTGTGTGTGAATTAGCGGGAACAGCAGAAGAAGACTGATATATATTACAGTTCTATCAATAAAGGAGAATGTTTGTAGCTCAGGGTTGATATGAGGGGTCTCTCTGAGTTTGGCTGTTTCCTTTCAGACATTTCATTACCTAAACTAGTTTACCTCATCAGTACTAGTTGTCTAGTGCTAGTAACATCGTCACTAGCACTGGTGATATTACCTAGTTTGGGTAATGAAACATCTGCAACGAAACAACCAAGCTCAGAGAGCACCAAGGATCCCTCATTACAGTTATATGCTCATGCTGCAGAGCAACTCTGGGTGGCTTGCAATTAAAATCATGAATGTAAAAATATATTTAAAAAAAAAAAAGTTGCCTCAGCCCAAAGAGATGGACAGGTTTTAAAGTTGGAGTGAGAGGTCCATAGCTAGAGTTTCCTCCTGTTTTCCGGATAAAGCTTTTAATCTGCAGCTGCTTTGCTTCATTTCTGGAACTTTTTGAGGGTCTGGAGCAAATTGTCTTTTGTTTATAACCTTCTAGTGCTCCCCACCTTTTTTTAATATACCACACAAAATCTGTTAAGGAGGAAGGTTTGGGTAACTGCAAAGTATCTTTTGATTAGACAGCTAAGAACTCTCCATCTGGAACCACCCTTTTGCAAACATCTCTCCTCCTGCCTCCAACATGGTCCAATCTCTTCCCCCGCTGAGCTGGATACTCAGAGATTGTCCCTGCTTGTTGCCATAGAGACCCTCTTCCAAATCTCAGGCCTAAAGCTGCAGAAGGAAGAAGAGGTGGGGAGGGAGGGGGATTGTAGGTGAGAAAAAAGTCACTCTGTCGCCCCACACCTGCCCTCCTGGATTAGCATCTTGGCTTTCTCTCAATAGGTCCTAGTTGCTTTCTTTGAGCAGGAGGCTCAAGATCAATACTGTAAAATATTTGCTAACTTGTAGACAAACAACTGCACATGTTGTTTTAAAATGTCAAGTCTTGCATGTTGGCTCAGAATTCATGCTTTCTCAGCAATTTGGTATGATGCTAGGAATGTCTTTAGGCCTTTTTAAAAGTTTCATCTACCAAAATAACACCTCAGATGTAGAAAAGATGTGGAGACTCTGGAAAGAGTGCAGAGAAGAGCAACAAAGATGNTTATTAGATTATTTTTATCCTGCTTTTACTACCTTTTTCTAAGGAAGCACAAGATAGCTAACATATCAAATACTCCTTCCTCCTCTACTCTTCCCACAACAACCCTCTGAGGTGGGCTGGGCTGAGAGAGAAGTACTGAACGCAGAACTAGAACTCACTCTCTCCTGGTTTCTAGGCCAACATTTTAGCCATTATTCCAAACTGGCTTTTTTCTCTATGGTGAGAAAAGGGCATATAGACATTTTACAGATAATGGAATTCAGATAAACAAAACTGTTGCTTTCTGGCTGTCACACAATAATGGATAATTGCCTTCACTAATTACATGTGTTTATAAATTTTCTCTTTTGCAGGATCCCCGCAATAAGCATAAGTTCAAAATCCATAGCTACAGCAGTCCCACTTTCTGTGATCATTGTGGCTCACTCCTGTACGGACTAGTTCACCAGGGGATGAAATGCACCTGTGAGTTAAACATTAATCTTTCTCTAGAGTTGTGTGGATTGTTATAAGGAAAAATAAAACAAAATGTTGTTAACTAAATAGCAGAAATGATTGTCAAAGCTTCTTTCAACTAAAGGCTGCTGTGGCATGGAAAAAGTTCCAAGTTCTAATATTATATCCCTCCTGAATACACAAGGCAGGCAGATAAAATATTTTTATTATTAATAATATGGTTGGTTGCACAATCAGTCAAATGGTTAGATTGGATTTTGCTTTTTTATTCCTCTCTCGAGCCCTTCCCATGGATCTAGGATAGGCAAATATTATTCAATGGTATTAAAAGTATTGTCACAGGTGTAAGCTGTTCCAAGTAAAGCTGTCTTAGAAGTTCTCTAGATGTTTTGGGATTGCACCCAAGGTGCCTATGATTATGGTTACTATCTTTGCTTTCTTTTGCCATAGTTTTTCTACTTAATGTTTGCAGCTCTTTTTTTTGTGATATCCCCCTCCCCTCATTTCTTTCTCTTCCCTTCTGTTGTCTCCATTGCTACTGCAGTGTCCACTATCCAGACATTTTTCTTTTTTATTGAAAAGTATTAACTTTAGGTTGTTATATGGCAGGTGATATAGTCTGTTTGAATTTTAACGTCCCAGAGCACCCTGGGATGTCCATTTACTATTACAGTCATTTATTTTGTGGCCTCACCAAGTCTTGCTTGCAAGTAGGTAATATTTCTTGCAGACATTCTAATGCACCATTGTTGCTATGTTGTCATGCTGTGGTTGGTAGTCAGTCTGTGCCATCTTTTTACAGCATTTAAGTGTTTCTTCTGCTTCTTTATAGAGACGGCACTTGCTATCTGTTGCTGTCTTCTCAACAATGGCTATGTATGCATTTGTAGCCCTATGTTTTTTTCTTCAGCTTTCCTGGTTTTATTCACTGATGGGACTTGTTATTTGCTTTGCCTGCTATTATTTTGAATGTACCGGCCATGTAAACCTTTGACTTGCCATGTCTCTTTTCTATTCTTCATTTGGTCTTTCTTATAGTTCAATTCGATATCTGATATTTAGTAGACCTTCGTGTAATACTACTTCAGTGTATCTTCTTCACTGTCCTTCAAATATTCTTCCAATTACAATACTAATTGTTTGTTTGTGTGCGAGAGTGTGTGTAATAACATACATAATTTAACAATATAATTTCAAGAGGTGAGAGTCCTCCACACCATGAAAATGCGAATGCTCCGTTGGATATCGGGCATCTCCCTTCTTGACCATATCACAAATGACACCATTCGACAGCATTTTGGTGTGCCACCAATTATAGAGAAGATGAGAGAAGGCTGGCTCCACTGATATGGACATGTCCAGAAAGCAGTACCTTCCACCATTGCCAAGACTGCCTTCCTAACTAGAAATCAATGGCTGGTGACCTCACGGGCATCCAAAACAGAGATAGCAAGACACCATCAAGAAAGATATGCAAGCTGCGGGCTTGCGCCCTGGAGACGCAGCTGACTATGCAAAATGGTGTTCAATGATCCGAAAAGCAGACCCTGCACCTGCGGGAATACGCTAGGAAGCAGAAGAGTCTGCATTCATATATGAATACAGTAGCATTCATCTAAAATGCTCTACATTACATATGCTAGAAAAACTGCATGCTTTAAATAATCTATTTTAGTTCAGTTTAGCTACCTTATCTATTTTTTATTTTTATTTTATTTTATTTTAGCAAAGCCTTACTCTTTCATTCTTCTACACTTGATACACACTTTAAAAAGAGATAATGAAGTATTTACTTTCTTCCTGCTGTTCCTTTTATGCATCAAAATGAGCTTGTAAAATAGACTATTCCATCTCAGATAGGCAAGAGACAACAACTTTAGTTGCCTCAAGGAAACAATGTGTTCAAGTAAACGAAGGGTGAAAGATTCTAGTTCTTCTGTTGTATTGAGCCTATCTGTTTATTGGAAACTTATTTTTATGTGAACAGAGCTCTTCTCAGGTTTCCTGAAAATATTTAAGGTTGACCATCCATTTACGACTTGAGTAGTAGCAGCCTATTATGAATCTTGATATCATGGGATTTTGAAAGCTATGATTGTAAGATGAAGATGAAGATTAAGCGACTTTAAAATTGTAAGCCTTCTGGAGTTCAGTGATAGCCAAATAACCATTAGCTGGATAGATGACAATATTTATATTTGGCACACAAAGAAAATATGATTCCATTTTGTAACTTCATTATAGCAAAGCAGCTCTATAAATTCTGGGTGTATAGAAGTAGATTCATCTTAAATTGCACCCTCAGGGATGTAGAAACATCAAAATACATAAATTCAAAAAGAAATTTTATGTAACCAGTGCAGCCAGTGTCTTAAGAATTTGGGAGCAATAATGGAGAAGCCATTGCATCAGATGTGGGTGCCTGAATGTAAGTATGTTAAAGGGCATTAATTGGTTTTTTTTAATGGAAGATGTGGCCAATATTATGATTTTGCTTTCTCCCAAAGATTCAGAGTGGATCCCTGCAATCAGTTATAGAACAGATGGTGAACAGCCTTCAGCTAATTTGCTGAATCTGACCTATGCTTTTTCTGAGATAGGCTTGCAAACACAGCCAAATGGCTTCTTCATTTCAAGAGCAATATCAGAAAGATGTTTGCATGTAGCAAAGAAGACTGTTATCTCATTAGAAGCATCTTTGTTAATTAATGATATGGATTTGCAGTGATTAATCTTAAAAAAAAAAAGAAGTATGTGTTGCTTATTACATGATACAGCCAGAAGCTGCAGTCTGGCATTCTCCTAAACGGGACTCCCTCCTGTATAAATGAATGAAAAAGAAATGCCTCTTTTTTAAAAAGATACCTTTTATCTAGGGCACTTGTAACTTCCTGTAGTAAAATATTTAACTTAACAGGGGGGAAAAATGTGATTTCACTAATTGAAGACATATTATAAAATTAGAAGTAGGGATGTACACGAAGCAGAAATGTGTTTTCTTTTGAACTTGAAACGAACAGACCTATATCCTAGATTGAATGTTTTGTTCTAATGTGTCAGCCCTTTGAAGTAGGCAGGGTCAAGAAACACAGACATTCCAATAATGCTTCTTTATAGTAATAAAATATATTAACAGAATCTTGAAATTCTGTCCTAGTGTTTCTCAACCTCAGCAATTCTAAGATGGTGAACTTCATCTTCCAGAATTCTCCCGCAAGCATGGTCCACTTCAAAAGTGATATTCCGCTGGTTCGCACCGGTTCAGGTGAACCAGTAGTGATGGCAGCGTGAGACTCCATCCACCCACCCAGACATCATCACGCACTTTCTGCACATGAGCAGAAGGTTCTGCGCATGCCCAGATGTGCGCACTTCTGCTACTGAACCAGTAGTGAAGAAAAGAGATACCATTACTGGTCCACATCTTAAAATTCCTGTGGTTGAAAAACACTATAGACACCGCCCTACACTGTTCTCTTTGTCCTTTATTATACTAATAAAATCAAAACAGTTTTCTTAGTTTTTTTCTTATGCTTTCTTCAAACTCTGGATGATGTAAATGCTTCTCTTAAGCCCCTCCTGGACAGTTGTTTCATACCAAGTTCATACAATTCCTTTACACAACCCTGGAACAAATTCTTAGAACACATACATTTTATATCAAGCTTACAACATTCAGAAGGTTGAACTGGTTGGATGTGAGGTTGCTTCCTGTGACCTGAGCTATTGGAATTCTGAAATATTGTTAAATTTTTGAAATAGGTAAGTTTTGTTCTAATTGCTGTTTTTTCCCTGGCCTCAGAACAAAACTCTTGTAAATGCAAAGCTCAGAACACTCAAACTAACCATGTTTAATTAAAAGGTTTTAAAAATGAAAACTCCAAGATTTATTTACTAATATTTAGAAAAACCTTTTCATATAAGCAATAAATTGAACCTATGTCAGAGTATGGACAGCTTTTCTCCTTATGTCTATCAGCTTTGAGCTGATTTGCCAACCTCTGTTGCCCCCTGCAGGCTGTGAGATGAATGTACACAAACGCTGTGTCCATTGTGTTCCCAGTTTGTGTGGTGTTGACCATACAGAACGCCGTGGACGCCTCCAACTTCAAATTGAGACATTTGGGAGTGATGAGATCCGGGTGACTGGTAAGGAAAGAGTGGCATTGAAGTGTAATGAAATTGGACATATGTGTCTATTCACTTATTAATATCTTATAAGATGTTCTGTTCTCAACATTTTGATCTTGAAACTAATATTGGTGGCATCATCAGGAACTGGGCCTTTTTGGGGGTAGTCTTCCAAAAACAGAGTAATAGGATATGGGGACTAGAAACTTCATTTAAAAAAGCAAGCTGAAGTAACCTGGACTCCTATTTTGTTTATGAATCACCTCACCAAAACCTCTTCATTTACTTAAGGAATTAGGAGCTTTTGAAAACAGGTAGAAATAGGAAAGCCTTGGGGGAGGGGAGGGGGGCAAGCTAGCTTGAAAAGGTGGGAGAAGACACTGAAGTGGGAATGCAGTACTGTTTGCCCAACATCATTTCTCTTTTCTAAGGAAAGAACATTTGCAAATTTGGGGTGTGTACTCATGGGAAAACCTCAGGACTTTGCTAAAATATCCAAGGCAAACAAATTGTGTCTGGGTAATAGTTTCCATTGTTTTGCCATCTTTGGATATGCAGAGAAACTGCAGTCTCTATATAAGTTATTAGTTCTTTCTTTGTCTCAAGATAAGATCACTTAGTTTATTAACATCCAATGCTTGTGACTGTAATTTCTGAAAGGAACTTGGTACTGTAGATATTTTGAAAAAAACTACCTGGGATTAGATTTTAGGGGGTTGATGAAATTGATCGGTTAGACACAAGTCTTCTAATGAAGGAGCCCTAAGCATTTCAAATTTATTTCTTTATCCTATTTCTATAGCTGCCCAACTCAATCAGATGACCAGCTACCTTCAGCTTGGTGTTGTAGTACTTAAAAACTAGTCTTGATTCTTTAATATCGCAAATTAAAAGACCTCATTTAAAAACATTGATGAATATGCCTTCAGCCAGTGCAAGATTTAGTCCATGAGTAGACTAGCTAATCCTTCTTACAAACATTTCTGTGATAAAAATTTCAGAATATAGCAATAAAATGAGATGTAGCGGCCTATAAATATTAATAAAATACCCCCCCCCCCAAACCAAAATACATCCACAAATCTGCTTCTTCCCGTCACTTGTTTCAGAGAGGATCAGAATGAATTATATAAATATAGGCATGTTTTACTCATTTTGCATTTTTAAACATGCAGTAATTCCTTTGCAATTCATTTAGGATCCAAGATTCAGTTTTGCATTTAGTTCTGGTATCAGATGTAAAATCCCAGTGAACCTTCCTGAGCAAATATGCATACTCATTTCTGCAATTGCTTCTCTTTTTTCTCTCTTTCTCCTTAAAAGGATTCAATTTAGTTATGGTGAACTAAAGCTGGACCAGGAAGTCACAAAACCTCCCCTTTTCATTTGAAAAGGGATTAACTTATTGTCATGAAAAATAGATGAAAATAATGCATAATTGAATAATAGAAATATTAAAGAATAATGAAACATGGAGGCAACCCAGATGATGCGACTGGAGGTTTGAAGAATGACTTGGGTTCTTCAGAATAGAAGAGTATTGCGGCACCAACTACAAAACAGTGGCAGTTTTGATAGGCCGGGGTGAAGAATGGGTCTGATTGGGGTGGTGAAGGCTGGGCACCTGGGTTCTATTACTAGCTACAAAACTTGACATTCCCCCGCCTCTGCTTTTCACACCTTCCCCTGCAGTCTTTCTCGCTGTCTTTCTCCCGCATTCTGGAACACCAGCACGTAGGTGGTGAGAAGAAAGCCATTGCTGCATTCTTCTTGACAGAAGGGGATTTCCTCACCCACCCTACCATCCCCTTCTCCCCCATGCACACACACGCAAACATACATAAGTTGCTGCGGCAGCAATTTTCGTGGCCCACAGCAGGTGGCCCAGGAGAGATGCCAGCAGTTCCTCCTCCCTCAGCCCACAAGCGAACACAGGAGGTCTGCCTTCCTACCCACTCACTCTTCCCTCTGGCACAAGGACTCCGTTGGAAGTTAATAATCTTTTTTGGAAGCTGGTATCACTGTTTCTATTTCCCTCCCTTCTTTCTGCATCAGTTGGAGAAGCACTGAACCTGATCCCGATGGATCCCAATGGTCTGTCTGATCCTTATGTGAAAATCAAGCTGATTCCTGACCCAAAGAATCTCACAAAGCAAAAGACCAGAACCGTCAGGTCCACCCTTAATCCTGTCTGGAATGAAACCTTTGTTTTGTAAGTATAGGAAGGAGAGGCCTCAGGGAGCTATGCATTTTATTTATCAAATTTAGAAATGGAGGGAGGAGGAGCTTCATGGTGCTAACCAGCCTTATGGCTGTGTGCTCCACTGTGAGCCCCAAGCAGGATGGGAGGATGAGGTCTCTAGACATTTCTGAAAGTCCAGGATACTGGAGGCCTGCTTTACCTTTGGGGGAAGAATGCTCTAAAGCAGGGTGTCAAACTCAAGGCCCGCAGCGGATCTGGCTCACAGGTTACTTAGATCTGGCCCACAGGACAACCCTGGAAACAGCGAAGGACCGGCCTGCACTGCCTCTGCCAGCGAAAACGGAGCTCGGGAGGACCACGCATGGCCCCCAGAGCTCTGTTTTCATTGGCAGAGAGCTGTAGGATGCAATCTTGGCTGGAAATGGAGCCTGGGAGGGCCACCCATAGGTTTGCCGAGCTCCGTTTTCATTGGTAGAACACTTGGGCCACCATAGGCGCCAGCCCCCACCCCTGTCATCATGATGTCAAGCTGGCCACACACACCCTGCCCCCCCAGGTTAAATACAACCCTGATGCGACCCGCAATGAAATTGAGTTTGCCACCCCTGTTCTAAAGGGTGGGAGCAACAGCAGAGAAGGCTTTTTTTCTGACCCCGCTAGTCGGAATTCTTTAATTCAGGGGTCTCCAAATGTAGCAATTTTAAGACTTGTGGACTTCAACTCCCAGAATCCCCCAGTCAGCCATGCTTTAACAGAAGGTATCGCAGTGGGACCAAGTGGGACAGGCTAATGTAATGGGGCAAGGATGATTCTATAGGTAACTTATTCCTATGCTATCTGGGGCTTCAAAGCTCATAACCAACACTTGAATTGGATCTGGAAGCAAATTGGCACCGAGTGCAACAGAGAGATTTCATGCATCATTCTTTGGACTACCTAGATTTATCATGCAGCCACATTCCATACTAGCTGAAGTTTCTAGAGACTGTTCAACGGTAGCCCCATGTAGAGTGGATTGTAATAATCCAGTTGGGAGATGACCAAGGCATGAATGGCTGAATGGAGAGCCTTCCTTTCCAGGAAAGGATGCACAACACAAAATAACAACAAAATTTATTTATTCAGGTTTTTAAAATCTCCTTCCTTCCCTTTGTCACCCACCAGCACCCTGCAGCCAGGTGACATGGACCGGCGCCTCTCCATCGAAGTTTGGGACTGGGACCGGACAACCCGCAATGACTTCATGGGTGCCATGTCCTTTGGAGTCTCTGAGCTGTTCAAGGGCCCCATGGATGGCTGGTAAGGGGAAACCTGTTGGGTAGGAAAAAAATGGAAGAGAACAATGGAGCAACACAGTGGCCCACCAGTGCTCATATTCTCTCTCTTTCTCCGTCTTGGCGTCTTTTTGGATTTTATCTGTTTGCTTGGTTGGCACCATCCTCTTTCTCTTTCTCTTTCTCTGTCTCTCACTCTCCTTTCCTTTAATTTAACCCTGCAAATATCTCCCATTTTTGGCTTCCATCCATTCATTCTGTTCTCCTCTCCCTATTTTCTTCCCCATCATCCCTCTTGCTCAACCGCTCCCTCTTTTGTCCACTTCCGCCCTGCCCAATGTCCCTGTCTGCGTTGCTGTCCCAGGTACAAATTGCTCAATCAGGAGGAGGGCGAATATTATAGTGTCCCTGTGGCGGATGCAGAAAACTGTGGGCTGCTGCAGAAATTTGAGGTAACCATGTGGCTCCATGACAATGTTTGGATTGGTACCCCATACGCAGGTTTCACTGAGCCGTAGGCTGAGCTCTGCCATGCAACACCAGCAGAACTGCCCTTTCTTATACTTTGGGGCAGTTTCACCCAGTTTGCAAGGAGCTCACTGAAAGATGGGAAGGGATGGGCGACCAGCAAGAGCTCTTCCAGTCAGTAAACAAAAATGAGAAGCAACAATACCTGGGGGAGGGGGGTAGGGCTCTAAAAAGAATTTTCCAATAGAACCACTTGCAATGTTCTTTGTATTTCACTCTTATCCCATAAATGAGGTGCGTGGCTCAGTGGCTTAATGATGCTGGAGATGGCCTTTGCTTCAGCGGTTGAATCCTAGCACTACGTGGTGGGGCGAGCTCCCGTCACTCGACTTGGCTTCTGCCTTCCTAGCAGTTTGAATACATGTTATATGCGAGTAGATAAATAGGTACCACTTCAGTAGGGAGACGAGACGGCACTTCATGCAGAAGGTTAGAATCTTGCTGGCACTGGATCTTCCCAATTGCAAAGCCCGTTTGCAAGCCGAGTGACAATTTTGGAGGAGGGAAATGGCCCCACATGACGCTGCAGGAAAGCAGCTTGTCTTTTTGGTGTGGAACTAGCTCGCCCCCTATGGTGCACTTTGGAAAGCGCGTGACCATGAACCAAACAGGGTTAGCAATCTTAGGTAGCCAAACTACTATTCTGCATCGTAGCAACGTAGTCTCCTGGCTAATGTAACATCGCCATACGCTAAACAAACAAACCCATAAATGTTACCTTTTAAACCCAATTTGGGCTGTGGGTGTTACACTCACTGTGTTGCCTCAAGCCTAATCATGAAGCATGTACTTCACAGCTCTAGGATCTATTGTGACAAACAGGATTACTGAAAGGCAGGCCTGTTGATCTAGAAGATCAGCTCTAAGGTGAAGTAGAATGATAGATATGTCAAAGGGGGAGAATTTTAGCCACCCTCTCTAGCTGTGTGTTGTATCTTGACCTGCTGAAATGGCATTTGTTATGCCTCCATTAGACAGTCTCAACTCTCTTCTCTGGATGGGGAGATCATCTTATCCTTTGCCTTAAACAACTAAATTTCTCAAAATGGACCTATAAATGGTGGTGTGTGGTCTGGCTTAAGAATGGACAGAAATTACATTTTAATGAAGAGGCAGGATGGAACAGAGGTCATTCAGGCAGCAACTTACATCTTGATGTTCTATTTTCCAGGCTTGCAATTTCCCTCTGGAACTCTATGAGGTATACATTTTTCTCCTGTTTCTTTTATTTTGGGAGGAGGCAGAAAATGGATTCTTCTGTTGCCATAAAAACAGCCACCAATGCTCATTTAGAGAAAGAGGGAAGTGCAGGACAGAAGAACAGAGAAAGAGCCCACTTGATCCCTTGAATCTACTGATGTTCATCCAGTCCTTTGTTTTTAGGATCAATTATGCTGCTTTTTGGCTGCTTGCAGTAAATTGCCCATCTTTGACCCCTTCTTGCAGCCGTTGGTATGCTCCTTCTGAACTTGGAAACATGTCCTTAGCTAATGTGCTTAACAATCACGGATATGTCTCTCCTTGGGAACATTGTTGGCTGAATCTCAGTGTTTACTTCTGGAGAAAAGGCATTTCCTTAGATCTGTCCATAAGCTGGAAGGAGAAAAATGGAGGTGGTAAATACTTTTGAAGCAAAAGTATCAGAGAAGGAAAGATAACACCAGGATCAATGAGATGAATCCACCTATTTGTGGTCTTCCCAGAAAGCAGTTCAGATAGTCCTCAACATGACTACAATTGAGTCGCAAATTTCCATTGCTAAGCAAGGCAGTTGTTATGTAGGTTTTGTCCACTTAACAACAATTTTATGACTTTTATCCACAGTTTTTAACAGCTTTAAACAACTGCAGTTGTTAAGTGAAGCATTCAGTTGTTAAGTGAATCTGGCTTCCCCCATTGACGTTGCTTGTCGGAAGCCAGCAGGGAAGATTACAGATGTGATCACTGTCATAAATACGACGCAGTTGCCAAACATCTGAATTTTGACAATGTGATCATAGGGATGCTGCAACGGTTATAAATGTGAAAAACGGTCATAACATCGAATGGTCACTAAATGAATGGTTGTAAATTGAGGATTAACTGTACCTTGAATATAAGTCTTCTAGAGTGGAGATTAAAAATCTGCCTAAAAATCTTTCGGAGCAGGGGTAAAATCCTGCAGGTTCTAGAGAACCAGCAGCAAAAATTTTGAGTAATGTGGAGGACCGGCAAATGCCACCTCTGGCTGATCCCAGAGTGGGGTGGGAATGGGGATTTTGCAGCATCCTTCCCCTGCCATGCCCACCAAGCCACCCACAGAACCAGTAGTAAAAAAAAATTGAAATTCACCACTGGTCTGGGGTCATGGCAACTTCCTCAGTTTACTGTGGATCTGCCCTGTTTCTGTAATGAGTCCACGGATCCTCTTTTGAAGAACGTTAATTTGCAACTGCATATATTTCAAAATCACTCCATTCTTCATGAAGATTCTCAGTCATCCAGGTCATGGTTGTCCCAAAGATGCTTTTTTAAGAGGTGACTGGAGTTACTTTCTTTTTATTCTCATCCCCAGAAGCTTCTTCAGCTCCGACTGAATGGTGGGTAATGGAAGGATTTATATTCCTTGCAGTCAGTTGGTCATTTGCATTCTTCTAGAGAGTCATTGAGGCCACTTGAAGATTTCTCTGTGTCCTCAGGGTCACCTTAGTGCAAATGGGTATGGAGTCGTCTTGGAACTGCTGAAAGGACTGTATTGTCATTGAGAAGTGCAGGAAAGCACCGAAAGAATACAAGTGACCCGTTGTCTGCAAGGAATATAAACCCTTCCATTCCCCACCTTCCAGTCAGAGCTGAAGAAGCTTCTTGGATGAGAAACGAAACTTCTTCAAAGAAAAACAAGAAAATCTAGTTGCCTCTTGGAAAAGCACCTTTGGGACACTCCATTGTTCATTCTCACACGCTCCCTAATATCTAAGAATTTTACTATTTGTATTAAATGCAACTTGTACCAGCTTCTGTTTCAAAGACACCCAAGGTGTTCTTCAAAATTGCAGAGATTTCTGAAGTTTTAATGTAACTAGTTGCGATGCCCTTCATTCTGAGTCTTCATAACCTTCACACCTGCGTCTCCTCCTTTTGTTCTGCAGAAGGTTCGTCATGGTCTTATCCCATCTCCATCTCCAAGCCCCACAGACCCTAAGCGTGGCGGATTCTTTGGCATCAACCGCTTCCATATCTCGGACTTCAACTTTCTCATGGTTCTGGGCAAAGGAAGTTTTGGCAAGGTGGGTCTGCCATTAGGCAGTGGGTCCGAGGTGCACAAGAGAGGGAGGTACAAGTACTGGCAGTGTCCAAAGTGTGGGCCTTTGCAAAGGCAGAATTTCCTTACGGGAGGTGGAAACAAGAGTCAAGACTCTCCGGTGCTTTCTCCACAGGTGATGCTGGCTGAACGCCGTGGGACAGATGAGCTCTTTGCCATCAAGATCCTAAAGAAAGATGTGATCATCCAAGATGATGATGTAGAATGTACTATGGTGGAAAAGCGTGTCTTGGCCATGGGGGAACGTCCACACTTCCTGACTCAGCTGCACTCTACTTTTCAAACAGTGGTAATTCTTGTCTCCCAGAGTTATTTCATTAAACAAATGTTGTTGTTAGTTGCAAAGCCGCCCTTCGCAACCCCATGGACAGTGTTCCTCAAGGCCTTCCGGTCCTCTACCATCCTCTATCATCCCGTTCTTCTTTTGCCCTCAATCTTTCCCAGCATTAGGTTCTTCTCCAGTGAGTCCTTCCTTCTCATTAGGTGGCCAAAGTATTTTAGTTTCATCTTCAGCGTCTGGCCTTCTAAAGAACAGTCAGGGTTGATCTCCTCTAAGACTGACCGGTTTGATTGCCTTGCAGTCCAAGGGACTCACAGGAGTCTTCTTCAGCACCATAGTTCAAAGACCTCAATTCTTTGGCGCTCACCCTTTCTTATGGTCCAATTAAACAAATATTAGCCTTTTAATTAAATAGATCGGGAGTACCTAACAATGGCAACTTTTAAGAACTATGGACTTCATTTTCCAAAATTCTCCATCCAGGCATGGTGTCTGGGGAATTCTGGGAATTAAAATCCACAAGTCTTAAATTTGCCAAGGATGGAAACCCTGAAATCGCCTCTTTAATTGGAATAAATAATTTCTTCCCACCACTTAGATTTGGACAGAAGATAAATTAATAGTTCTACACTGAACCAATGCCACTTGTCCTTGAATTTTTTGAAATTATGCCATGTGTGCCCTTTACAAATGCAATTGGAGAAAGAAAGGGCTGTTTTTGAGATGATGCGAATTGTTTTTATATTAATTGTGTTCAAAATAATTTGAACAATAAAAAACGCTACTTTTTATTAGAGAGCTTATTTATATAATCAAAGTATGTTTTATTTCGTGAACTGATGTCCACACATCTTAAAATGGCCGAGGTGGAGAAACACTGATTTAAGGAATACTTATAGATGAAATTATTTGTCTGGGGACATGTTCTGCTCTTTTCCTTTAAGGACCGGCTGTATTTTGTTATGGAGTATGTCAATGGAGGAGACCTAATGTATCACATCCAGCAGGTTGGGAAATTCAAGGAACCCCATGCTATGTACGTGAGTTTTTTTGAGGAAGTAGGCTATCTGTATGTCAACCATCATAAAACCCAAAGAAAAGTTACTCTGAAATACTTAAATACAGATTTAAAAATCATGATCAGCTCCCGAGAGTGGTCAACTCATCTGGTTTAATATTTTAGTCTAGTCAGGCCACGCACTATCACCAACCAGCAGCACCGTTCCTTGCTTGTCTTACAAAAATTAGAGACATGGGAAAAGTATCTCCCACTGCTCGGGTTATAAGTAGTCCTCGATTTAAGACTACAATAGATTTCATAATTGTGATCATAACTTGTGAAAGTGATTAAGTAGGTCATCATGTCACTGTGCCTAATTTTATGACCTTTTTAATGACAATTGTTAAGTGAACTAAATGTTATGGGGCATTTCCTCCACCAGAAACTGGAAGTAACACTGGTTGAAACTTTTAGTTTGATTTTGAGAATCATAAGTAAAGATTCGTCCTAGCATCCAAGTCAGAAAGATGGTAAAAAACTAATTGATATATACCAAAGGTAGGGAACGATGACCCCTTTATGACTTGTGGACTTCAATTCCCAGAATTATGGGAGTTGAAGTCCACAAGTCATAAAAAGGCCATCATTCTCCACCCCTGGCATGTATAATGGAGTTAGATGGGAAAGCGATAGTTTATGAGATTGTGAAGTAATATAATTGCATGATTTCAGACTGGAAGTGAAGCATCGCTTTTATTTTTTTTTAAAGACAAAAAGAGAACATGCTTTGCAAAAGATGAAGTTTGTGCAGTGGTTAAGGTACCAGACTAGAAATCAGCAGGTAGTGACTTTTACTCCTGCTTTAGGCATAAAGCCAAGTAGGTGATCTTGGGCCAGTCACTTTCTTTCAGCAGCCCTAGGAATGAGACAGTGTCAAACCGCTTCTCACAAATCTCACCAAGAAAAACTGAAGGGTCTTGGCCAGGACTCAAAAACTGACTTGAAGACACCCGTAGACAAACAAATAATTCTCAGCAAGTGATTACTGTCCTCTGGCAGAAAGAAGAAGGCATCTTCTATTGCTGTGCTCCCTGGCAGACGTTTTTCCACCTGGCAGGGCAGGCACAGCCAGACCTTCATCACTGGGCTAAAAAAAGAAAAATGCTCTGGAAAATATGCTCTGAACATCCCAATTGCCTTGGTTTAGAAATGGCTATAACCATCCAGTAGAGCATGAAAATGTGTCTATTGAAACTGCCATAAAACACACTCTGAAGATGCTAGCAGTGAGCCATTTGCCATCCTCTTTCTAATCCACCATTGTTTCCTCTATTCTGCTATAGATTTTATGCAGCTGAAATTGCGATTGGATTGTTCTTTTTGCATAACAAGGGGATTATTTACAGGTGAGTCTCTGGCTGCTGCCCATTCTCTATGCCTACCCAAGCCAGAGAAGGAGAAGAGTGGGGGCTGTCTTGAGTACAACTCTTGGGTCCTAACTACAACATCCCAATGTTTTAGTAAGAATTGAGAAGATAACAGCTCATGATCTCTCCAGCCTTCTTTTTTTTCCAGTGTCAAAATCCGAACACAGGTAATAGCAACAGCACTTAGACTTATATAGCATAATGCCCTCAACAATCTGGGTCATCATTTTATCTCCCTTGGAATGACGGAAGGCTAGTCAACCTGAATCAGGATCGAACTCCTTGCAGTGGACGGAGTCATCTTAATTCTCAATTTATGACCATAATTAAGCCTGGAATTAGGATTGTAAATCATGGTGGTTGTCAAGTGGGATACCACGTGACTGCGTTGATTTTTCAACTTTTTTTGCAGCAGTTGTTAATTGAACTTTGTGGTTGTTAAGCAGATGCCACCATCATTAAGCAAACATGTCAATTATTAACCCAATTTTCCCAATGGGTGTTTTTTATTGAAAGTGGCAAAAAATGATGGAAATTACGGTCAAGTGATCATGGGACGCTACGAATGGCCATAAATGTGAGCTGGTTGCTAAGTGCCCAAAATTCAATCACATAACTGTGTGAGGGAGGGCTCGGAACTCTGGAACTTGGTTGTAAATATCTTCTAACAGTCACTAAGTGATCGATCATTAAGCAAGGACTGTTTGTAATTAGAAATTCTGAGTCATTGTATAATTGTAACCCTGTGTTGTACAGACTCTATTCCAATTCTTCATATTGTTGTCTCTAGAGATTTGAAACTGGACAATGTCATGTTGGATGTTGATGGCCACATTAAGATCACAGATTTTGGGATGTGTAAAGAAAACATTTTCCCTGGCATCACCACCCGGACCTTCTGTGGAACACCTGACTATATTGCTCCAGAGGTACAGATCTCCACTTAAAAACTAATGCGCCCAGGTTCCATCTACTTTCATCTTCTACTTCCAGTTTATTTCTGAGCAGGATGTAAGGCGAGACTACCTGATCTCAAAGCGCACAATGGCTTATGGCCAAGTCACTTAAGGAAGCCTCTTCAATTGCAGGTTCCTCATTTTTTGGTTGCAATTGGTTGGGATTTTAGATCAAGTTTTCTCTTCAATTCCTATGTTTAAGGAAAATACCTCTACTAAGAGGAGAGAGAAGCCTCATCTTAAATTCCTTTCCATGGTCAAGTTAATCAATGGGTTTAGCTGGTTGAATAGTTTTGCTTGTATTTATTTTTTAATTTTTTTTTGAAAAAAAGTTCGATTATTTGTTATTGCTTTATTTACTATTGGATTTTTTAAAAAATCATCTCTCTACAGCAATCAGGGGACTAATCTTAAATTCCTTTCTTCATCAGCCTTTTGGGCCATGTTTAAATGTCTAATAGTTTAGATGGCAAATTGCTTTTATTTCTTTTTAAATCTGTAATAGTTTGGTGTTATTGTATTGTTTCACAAAATACCCTATTGCTAGAAATAAAAGAGAAAAGTGGAATCCAAATGTAATTGCAAAACAAGAAGAAAAAAACTTTATTCGCTTTCGGACTCTGTATACACATAAAGTTTATTGCTCTTGAAAATTTCAGGGTTTCAAATTCCTAAACTATGTACTATATCCAAACTCAGTATATCCATTATAGCCAATATGTTTTTGCATCTGAAATCCAGTTTTTACAATTAAACATACATTCAGGGACGCAACCTTGCTTTATTTCCTCTTAGACGCTATGTTCTCCCTGGGCCATTTCAGTTTTAAATTCTGAAATGTTCCATCATGTCTATTTTTATTCTCAGAATATTTTGGATGGACGGGGCAGTGAATGAATGAAAACTCTGTTCTTTTATTGCATTTCGATTTTAATTGGTTGAAAAGCCCAGGATCCTAACTGTGTTATGACCATGGTTTTGAGGTTGAATCACAGCCATGCTGTTTGCTTCAAACCACTCTTGAAAAATAAAATTACAATGTCAAGAGTGGAATAGCAGGCTTTTATCAGGGTCGTTGCATGGAATGTATCTGTCCCATTTAAAAATTATTGTTTTATTTATCAGCTCAAAATGCAGCTATCAGTTCTTAAATGCTGTACGATCTAAGTATTTCATGAGCCACCTTCTTTTGTAATAGCCAGCACACATATTTTATTCATCAATGGAAACTTTGCTCCAAAATTTCCACTGGAAGTAGAAATATAAGATAAAATCTTTTTGGTGATAATTCTCGGATGGTTGACTTCATTCTCCTTAGGGCATACTCTGCTCTTCTGTTTCATATAACTAGTCCTCAACTTGCAACCTCAGTTGGTATTGTAATTTCTGCCCTAAGTTGTTACAGCTTAAGTTGGATCAAACTTGATTTTTATGGTATCATTCAAGCAAATCCAGCTTTCCCAGTGGGTGTTTTTTTTGCTGGAAATTGGCAAAATAAAGGTCACAAATGGTGCTCATGTGACTGCAGGATTGTAAATCCAAGCTGGTGCCAAGCAGCTAAATTGTGATGACATGACCATAGGAAAAGAAGGATGGTCATAAGTGTGAGTACAGGTCATAAGTCACTTTTTCCAAGTCCGGCGTAATTTTGAACAGTTGTCAAACAAATGGTCGTAAATCAAGGACTACCTGTACTTGCTTGCTTACTTTACTCATTTGTTTATATTAAATACAATTCCTACTTTGCAAACTTGGAAAAGATATTCTTTTGGTGAAGTATTTAGCCTCAGTATATATATATGAGTTTTTCTCTTTGATTTTTTTGGCTTTATTGGTTATGTTTGGCTTGTTTGTAGATAATTATATCTTTACTTTTGTTAGCTGCTTAGTTAGCATTGCTTTGATCAAAACATGAAATGAGATATATCTCAAGGGGCTGAAATTGTCATTTTCCCCTCTCTTTAAGATTATAGCTTACCAGCCCTATGGGAAGTCAGTGGACTGGTGGTCATTTGGTGTTCTTCTATACGAAATGTTAGCTGGACAGGTACGTATATGTAAGGATTCTGGTAAGTATGTGCAAGAATTCTTTACCATTTACTCCATTTCAAAAATGTGTTTTACATTATCTGGAGAAATGATTGATAGCCATGAAACTATGAGATCAGGAAACAAAGGCTGTTAGGGATTAAACTCAGTCATTACCATTTTCCAGGTGTGCTCCAGAGAATTTTCATAATTTCCAAGTGGGGCTAAGAATTTTGAAACAAATTAATTTTGAAAGATACATATAAGGGGCTGATCTCTTAAATACCTGGATGTAGGGAATTTGTTGCTCATTGAGTCTCTGATAATAAACTAGCATTCCTTCCTGGATTCTTAGGAGCATCAATCTCTTATGAGAAGCTAGGAATCACCAGTGGTACTTAGCTCTTAGTGGAAATCTTAAGACTTGAGACTGAGAAAAAGAGGTTGCATTAAAACTGAAATATATATTTCCACTCACTATAGTATTAAATGAACAATTCTTCATTAATTAATCTATTTATTTGGCTTCCCATTTTACAGAAGTGACTTTGGACAACTGACAAGATTAAAATAAACAACCCCTCCAAACAAAAGCACCCCCTCAAGGACAAATGATTAGCCATAGCAGCGGAGCCCACCATCACCCTGACTCAAAGGCCTGGGGGAACAGCCATGAGAACCATTTGAATTTCTGGGCCGATGCTGTTCTAACAAAAAGACATTGTTTAATAAAAGATACCTGGAGCATACTTTCTCTGCTAGATCTGATGGAGGGGAGGGGGAGAAACAATTGGAGAAAGGGCTTACTAGACATTTTGAAAAGAAAAGCATTCATGCGATTTCAGAAATGTAAAGTAGAAATGGGGTAAGATTCCTCCTGTTCTCCCAGAGGGCTTTGTATATTTCAATTGCCACACATGGAAGAGAACTACTTTTGTTCTCTCTATATGAATCCAAGTGCCATTCTGCAGCTGCCTTTTGCACAAAACCTGGAAATGTGGCTCAAAGATGTAAGATTAAGTGTTGTTTATCTGTGTTACGTGTACAGTAGTTTGTACATCACTGAGGAGTCCAAATAGGAAAATGTATTTAATGGACCAAACATTTCACACACACATTCTATGCTTTCTGGGGGGGAAATAGAATAGTTGTTGCTTATTTTCTCTGTGTTTTCTTGATCTACAGCCACCATTTGATGGAGAGGATGAGGATGAACTCTTCCAATCGATTATGGAACACACAGTGTCCTATCCTAAATCTCTTTCACGAGAGGCTGTCTCCATCTGCAAAGGAGTGAGTCTTGTTTCAGAACTGGCACACTTAGGTGGAAGGGGGGCTCCTTATCATATTTCCTGAGACAACATGAACGATTGAACCTTGTCAGCCTTCCCAGGTAGTCTGGAAAAGAAAGACGACCAGTTCAGCCAATTCTACTTCACTGTAAGGCTACATTAACAAAATCTCACAAGTTTAGAAAGCACAGATCTCCCACTTCTTTTTTACCACCTGATAAGTTAGGGAGGTTGTTTTGGGACAGCCTTACTATAATAATAGAGTTGGGAAGGGAACTTGGAGGTTTTCTAGTTCAACCTACTGCTTAGACAGGAAACTGTACCACTTCAGACAAATGGTTATCCAACATCTTTTTAAAAACTTCCAGCGTTCACAACTTCTGGAGGAAAGTTCTTCCACTGATGAATTGTTCTAATTGTCAGGAAATTTCTCCTTAGTTCTAGGTTGCTTCTCTCCTTGATTAGTTTCCACCCATTGCTCCTTGTCGTAACCTCAAGTGCTTTGGAGAATAGCTTGACTCCCTCTTCTTTGTGGCAGCCCCTGAGATATTGGAACACTGCTATCATGTCTCCCCTAGTCCTTCTTTTCATTAGACTGCACATACCCAGTTCCTGCAACCGTTCTTCATATGTTTTAGCCTCCAGTCCCCTAATCATCTTTGTTGCTCTTCTCTGCACTCTTTCTAGAGTCTCCACATCTTTTTTACATCATGGCGACCAAAACTGAATGCAGTATTCCAAGTGTGGCCTTACCAAGGCATTATAAAGTGGTATTAACACCTCACATGATCTTGATTCTATCCCTCTGTTTATGTAGCCTAGAACTGTGTCGGTTTTTTTGGCAGCTGCTGCACACTGCTGGCTCATATTTAAATGGTTGTCCACTAGGACTCCAAGATTCCTCTCACAGTTACTACTATTGAGCAAGGTACCACATATACTGTACCTGTGCATTTTGTTTTTCTTCCCTAAATGTAAACCTTCCTTTTATGAGTCCCTTTCTCTTCCTGTTATGCAGCTGCAGGCTATATTCCCTCTTATCTGATAATTTCCTAGGCAGCTTTTCTTCTAGCTCCTATGTCCCAAGGTCACTCCTACACACCATTACATATCCACCATTACATATATATACAGGAACCATTTCTAAGATGTACGGTTTTGCAGGAAAGGGACAATTGATACAAGATTCACCAGGGGTGTCAAGATGTATTGAACTTCCATTTGAATAATTCTCAACATCATGTCCAACACCTCTGGCCTATATTGAAGAATGCTGAACTGATGGATTGTCTTTTGAAAATAATTTGGCCTTTGAAATTTATATGGATTAGTTCCCTGCTTGGTTTTCAAACCAAAAGGCAATCCTGGTTTACATTAAACACTGGCAGGGGAAAATCAGTACAGTGGGAAGCAGTTAAGTATTTATTTCATCTCTTTTCCCCATGGGTGTTCCTCTGCTTCCATGTGTGGATGTGGGAACTCTTGTTTGTGTCTCCTTCTGTTTTGCCAGAGTGTCAGAGCAAGTATCGGATGCCCAGGCAATTGGTTCTAGGAACAATGAGCATGTCACTAAATAAAAAGGTTTTTAAGCTTTATTATTAGCTCAAGCAAACAGATTTAAAAGCGTAATGTAAAAAGCATACATAGCAAGCAAAATGATACCCAAATTTCTTACAGGCTGTGAGGAGCTCCTGAACAATGACAGCAGAGATGTCCTAAAGTGCCCAATTTCCACAGTACCCAATGCTAGGCTTTGTGCTAAAGCCCCCAACAACCCCAAAGTTTGTTTGTTTTTAAATACCAAAACCTGACACCACAACTTCATGGCCCTGCTATGATGATGATGAGACTGCAGGACCTTACGCTGACTGTGTGACACATGCCTCTGGGATGGGAATTAAAAGTGAGAGGCTTTGACAGTAAGAAAAGCTTTACAGCTTGGCGAAGATTCCCCTCTCCTCCTTTATTCAGTAGCAAGAGTAAAAAAAAAAAAAAAAAGTTAGCTCAGAAAGAGTTCTAAACTTCTAGACTTTTCTTAATATGATGGATAAACCAAAATACGTCACTAAACTCCTTGAAATAACATTGATCTTCTGCTTTGCCACTATATCTTCCCATCTAGTGCCAGATTGGATTAGATTCCTTCAAGGACTAGTAGGACATGCAGGACTAGCAAAGTTTTCTCTGTTCCTTAGTTCTTGACTAAACATCCCCTGAAGCGCCTGGGGTCAGGACCAGAAGGGGAACGGGATATTCGGGAGCATGGATTTTTCCGCTGGATGGACTGGGAGAAACTGGAACAGCTGGAAATTGCTCCACCTTTCATACCTAAGCCTGTGAGTAGCTATTGGTTGCCAAATGACAGGCTCATCAATTATTCTCCAAATATATTATTCTGCTATCCGCCATTTTTTTAGAATAAAAAAGAGAGGAATCACAAAGGAAGGTTACACAGGCAGTCCTCAACTTACAACCAATTTCCATTGCTAAACAAGGCAGTTGTCAAGTGAGTTGCATCTGATTTTGTGACCTTTTTTGCCACGGTTGTTAAATGAATCACTGCAGTTATTAAGTGAATCACGAGGTTGCTAAACAAATCTATCTTTTCTCTTTGACTTTGTTTGTTGGAAACAGGCTGGGAAGGTTGCAAATGGCAATTGTATTTGCAAAATATAAAATACATGCCAGGTGCCAAACGATCAGATTTTAATCACATGATTGCGGGGAATGCTTCAGTGATTGTAAGTCACTTTTTAAAAAGTGGTGCTGTAACTTGGAACAACTGCTAAACAAATGATTGTAAGTTGAGGACTACCTGTATGAGTTCATCTGGACAAGGAACTCTTTGCAGGAGCTGGTTTGTTTTTTTCCTTCCTCAAAAGCTACAAGTATAAAATTTAGAATGTGTGTTCATCACTAATTTCATAAATATCATTAGGTAGTTTAAGTCTTAGCTAGTAAACGAAGAAAGAAATGGTTGTATTAACAGGCTGAAAAATAACTCTTTTTCTTCCCAACTTCTTCCCTCAATCTCTTTGGTCCTTTTCTTTTTCTCTTTCTACATCTGCTCCAGTGTGGCCGGAGTGGCGAAAACTTTGACAAGTTCTTTACACGGGCACCACCAGCACTGACACCCCCAGACCAGCTGGTTATGGCAAGCCTCGATCAGAGTGAATTCCAAGGATTTACCTACATCAACCCTGACTTCGTGCATCCATCAACCTTGCGGCAGGGAAGCCTCTCCCCAACTGCCATGCCTCTCTCCCCAACCGGCATGCCTCTCTCCCCAGCAGGAATGATCCCTTCTCCTACCTCTTTAGTGTGAGAGTGACCTGTAATCACCTAAAATCCCCATATTAAACCTTGGCTGTTGGACTCTGTTCCTAAGAGCAGGAGTCCAAGTTGAAACCCAATCCTAACTCTGATCCCCAGAAATATTTTGTTAATTGCATTCTCTGGTGTGTTGTTTCCCTCTTTATTTCCCTCCCTTAGGTGCAATCAAACTGGTGAGGTTAAGAATGAAAAAATGCATGCACACACACATACACACACACAAAAGCATGAGCACACACACACACACACACACACACACACACACACACAAAGATAGATAGAGAGAGAGATACAAATACTCAGTCCACAGTTCCCCAACCTTTCCGGCTTTGCAGGTTGGTGGGGAGGGGAGGGTTCTTTGTGAGTGGTGGGTATGCGCTCACTCACTGCTTGGACAAGTGCGGATGCACTGCTCTTTCCTGCCACTTCTGCAGCCAGATTCCAAACATCTCAAGGCCCAGTAGTAGACTGTGGCCCAGGGTTTGGGGACCTCTGACTCAGATGCATGTACACACACGGAGTCTATATAGATCAGGGGTGTCAAACTCAAGGTCCAGGGCGCGGATCCAGCCCGCTTGATGCTTATATCTGACTCAAGTGGCTGCCCTGGAAACAGCTCAATTTTTGCTGGCAGAGGGTTGCAGGAAGCTGTTGCAGTTAAAAACAGAGCTCAGGAGGGTCATGGGCAGCCCTCCAGCCCTCTGTTTTCACTGGCAGAGGGTTGCAGGAGGCCATCACAGCCAAAAATGGAGCTTGGGAGCCTGTTTTCTCTGGCAGAGGGTTCAGGCCACCACCTGCATCCCTGACACGAGTGATGTTGAACTGGCTACACCAATCCTGGCCACGCCCTCCCCCACCCCCAAGGTCAAACAACCCTCATGCAACCCTCAGTGAAATAGAGTTTGACACCCCAGATAGATAGATAGATAGATAGATAGATAGATAGATAGATAGATAGATAGATAGATAGATAGATAGATA